TACGTGGTCTCTCAGGCCAACACTGCTGATGTTTTCACCAAGGCACTTCAGCCTTGTGATCATCAGCGTTTCTGTATTGTGTTAGGCCTTGTACCTACTGTGCCTCACTTGTTGACTTCTTGACTCTGCTTGTACTGTACTCTATATACTTATACCTGCATGCTTACACTTGCTAGGTTGTGTTCACTGTACTGTTTGCTTTCCTTTATATAACTCTACATATGAACTGGCCTTATGGCCCTTTGCTTGTGCTCAGACTGTGTGGTGACTTTGTGATCCACCCTGAGCTTGCTTTGCTTTTCTTGACTGGTCTTGTGACCTCTTGTTCTCCCCCACTTTGCCTATGGGGGTGTGTCAAACTTATATCTGCTATGGTCTATTTAGGCTGTAGTGGGGTAGCTCTTAGAGGGTACAACACTTATGTGTTTCCTAGTTGTACCCATCTCATTTCTAGTTCATTCATTCTTTCGTCTATCATTCTCACACGATGTAATCGATGTCATCACGATGTTCCCATGGGCCAAGAGAAAGAATATTCTCGGAGTCGGCAGTGGTGCGTTCAGGTACGAAGTTGAGAACGAACACTCCGTTCTGTTCAATTGCCGTGCCGAGTTTCTTGTCTCCATATTTTAAAGTAAACTTGCCCGGTTCACCAAGAAGAGTAATGCCATTCCTCATGAGCTGTGCAGATGACATCAGATTGAAGCCAAGTCGAGGAACGAGGAGTACATCGTTAAGATGAAGACTGAAGTCTTCTTCAACAGAATCAAGAATGATGTTACCCATCCAGTGTGCTGTAAGACGTTGATTGTTGGCGACGGTTACAATGCATGGATTCTGAATACGACGCTGATTGATGACGAAGCGATTTTCTGATGAACACATATGCTGGCCGCAACAGCTGTCGAGATACCAAGTGTTGGGTCCTTCCAAGGTATGTGCAAGGTTGGCGTAGACCTCGGGTGGTATAAGCGTATTGAGTTCATCGTTGAAGTTACTGTGAATACGTTCTTCAGCGTCAAGATCGTAGACGGTAGAAACTGACGTCATGCAATTAATAACTTCTTTCGTGTGTGTCTTGGCAGGTGTAGTAGTCGGCTTCGCAGAGTTCGGCTTCGCAGTATCCTGCTTCGTAGCGTCCGGCTTCTCAACTTCCGGCTTCTCAGCTTCACTTGAAGAATCTTTGGTATGTTTTGATGCAGACCGCTTCCAAGATGGTTTATCCTTTGACCAGCAGGTATCAATAGTGTGTCCTGCTTTGCGACAAAAGGAACAAACGGGCTTGTGACGTGGATTAGAATAAAAACTGACTGTGTTGTTTACCACCTTTTTCCCTCCTCGAGCGTTGTGCAGGTCCATATCCTGCTGCTCGGCGATGAGAGCGGCACAGAGTGCCCCCTCGGACAACCGTGCTTGCATTCGAAGTATAGAGCGACACTGTCGCCATTCTGGTCCAAGACCCGTGAGTAGCACCGTGTGGAACATAGCGTCGGGGAAGTACCCTCCACACTTCTGAAGTTGATCGCGCAAATTTCGAGCGCGGTTGATATACTGCGTCACCTTCTCGCCGTTTATCATCTGTATATTTGACAGCTGCATTAAAATTTTACTCTGGTTGACACTGTCCTTTGCCATGTGAACCCCTTGCAGGTATAACCAAGCTGCTTCAGCGGGAGCGGCACTGGTACGAAAAGAACGAATTCCGAGCTGTTCAGTCGGTGTCAGATTACGAACGAGAACTGTGTATGCAGTCAGCGACGCCGATCGAAAAGTGGCTTGTTGAAGTGGTGACCCGTGAGATGGAAAGGGTGCTGTGCCGTCGAACATATGCCAGAACCCCGCGGTCTGAACAAGAAGCTCAAATTCAAAGCTCCGGGTATAGAAGTCTTGACCGTTAAAAGGCATAGTCGTTTTAATTTTCGTTGGGTTTGCAGAAGCGGGAAGATAATTTCCGGTACCATCAGCTGATTGTAGCTGATAAAGTGACGGCATTTGTGACCCTTGTGGTGTTTGTTGTCCTTGTCCAGCAGGAACGAAAGAGAAGGAGTTATTCGACCCGTCACTTCCTTGTGGCATCTGTCCATGCTGATAACTGGAGCCATCAATGCTCATAGGAGTTGGAAACATTTGGTTAAGTGACAAGACGACAGCATTGACACGCTGTTGAAGATTTGCTGGATGGTAAGCACCTTGATATTGATAAGGTCCAGTCGGTACGAAATTTGACTGTTGTCCTGGTTGACTAGAAGAACCAGCGACTGCAGCTGCAGCTGTTGTGGCTGCTGATGCTGCTGTTGCTGCGGCTGCTGTCGATGATGCTACTGCTGAAGTTGTGTGTACGTGCTGATTGCTCGGTGGCATGCCGTACATCGGTTGTTGCTGATATTGTTGATGTTGTTGTTGCTGCAGATTAGTGTCAGAATCCCAACCACTAGACCATTGGGATAAAAGGGCTTGTTAAGTAGCGGGTCAGTGCGCACATAACCCCCCAGGACAAGTAGCCTGTAACCCTTCCCTAGGATCAATCGGGGATCACCAGTGGACATCTGACACCCCCCCGCACTGGGATGCCCGAAGTGCACACACTGGGATTCGAACCCGAGACCTTTGCTCTGATACCATGTCAGAATCCCAACCACTAGACCATTGGGATAAAAGGGCTTGTTAAGTAGCGGGTCAGTGCGCACATAACCCCCCAGGACAAGTAGCCTGTAACCCTTCCCTAGGATCAATCGGGGATCACCAGTGGACATCTGACAATTAGAATTATCAGCAGCTGGAGACGCTGTTGGGCGTGATGGGCTCGTAACAGAAGAGCCGTTGTTGGACCGTGGAGACCCAGACATAGTTGTAGAGTATATAGTTGGAAGTTTGTAGTATCCTAAGACGCTCGCAATACCATGTTAGAATTTGAAGAGATTGAATAGGATCATACTACTTAGGATGATAACTTCATGACGTAGCGGAAGTCTTGTATGAGTTTAAAGCCAGTTTTATGACGGCTTTGTCTGGACTTAATAAAAGCCCATGTAGTGATATGTTTCAGGATCAATGTCTCTGAAATCAGATATATTATAAAATGACTAACATACAAAATATATAGCTAGAGTAAAGTACCTGTTCGCCTACTGTACTGTGCTATTCTTTGTTCTGAAACGGTACGTAACCTTTCGCGAGGTCTATAGCTACGTGCTGACGTCATCCTAGAGTGCGTAGCGCTTTGCTGACGTCAGCCTATCGGTACTTTACTGCTACGCTCGAAATCTCGCACTGTACTACACGAATCCTTGAAGTGCTTAAGTCTTCATATTATCTCAACAAGGCCAAATGGCCTCCAACCCCTCTTTTGTAGCCAAAAGAGGGCGAGTAGCGATGCGACGCTGCCTTTGCTGCGTTGGCAATCGCTTCACTATCACAATACAAAATTTTAGAGAGTGAGTACACTTTCAAAAATTATAATCTTATGCTGCAGACAGCTCATTCTGACTGGACGCGCAGGTAATGAGCCGAGCGAGGTGAAGGGCATCGAAATTCAATAACGTGGGAATGGAAAATGTGAGTTTCATTACAATGATTTCAGTACAATTATAGCAAAAACAAACAGAGGGTGGCACTTGTAATCCGTAAGCCTTTAGGGGTGGGCTTATAATCGAGGACCGGATATAAGCGCCGTCATCCTTTTATAAGCGCCGGCGCTTATCCGAGGCCTGCGCTTATATCCGGGGGCTTACGGTAACCTTCCTGCAATTGTTGGTACAGTTCGTGGGATGGTATTCCTGCTGCTTGTTCATGTTTTCACATCTCAAATTCCGCACTGCAATGCACAGCAGTAAATGGCAGTCTGCCCAAAAACTACTATCAAAACTAATGGAGAAAAATGACCCAACAAGTGGAAAACCATGGGATCAAACGAACACCTTGAATAGGAAAAAGCATGAAGTGGGAATGGAGAGGTAGACTACTACGAACACAAGACTGCAACATGAGTAAACGTGACAAAAAAAGAAAACGTTATGGAACCCCTCAACAAATCAGTGAAACCCGAAGGGGTTAACCACGACCAATTTCCAAGTAAATGAGTAGGACAAAAAAAGATAATGACACATTGAAAAGGAAAAATAACTATTAAACATGGCTAATCAGTCAATTGGCAGAGAAGAGGTGAAACATGCCTAGCAACAGGCTAGGGTTCAACAGACAGGACACGGAAGCAGGCCCCACTGGAAAGAGTCATCATGAGGCTACCGGTAGAAAGAGTAAGAGAGGGACTGTCAGATGATAGCACCAGTCGGTGTCAGAAAAGAAGAGGACTGGGAGAGTGGAACAATCCACTGTGGCGAGCCAGCGATGGAAGCGATGACAGAGCGCTAAGAGGTGCAGAGAGGCAGACCCGGCCAGAAGCGATGAAAAGAAGCAGGTAAGAGGTGCGGAGCGAACAGAGCCGGAACAAAACTGGTTACCGGAAGCGGTGAAGAGATGCAGCCGAGAGGTGAGGAGAGATAGCACGGAGGAATAAACTGGGTGTGCCAGGAGCCAATTGAAACAGAGAATGCGGGTCCTGCCTGAGGCTTGGAGCAGAAGCAGACTCGAGAAAACAAGGTGAAACAAATTTTGTGAGGAAGAGGTGAGAGAGAGGAGCTGAGCTAGGAGCGTGAGGAGGAGCTCAGGAAAAGCTGAGCAGGGAGAGGTGCAAACGTGTGGCGCGACCAACACAAACCTCCGTGAACGCGGTAGCGGCAGACGCAAGCAGCAAATGGTAGAGAGAAACAGGAGGGCTAGCGTAGACACACGCAGCCACCAACAACCACCAGCAATCACCCCAGATGCTGCAGTCGCTCCCACCAGCCTTCAACACATTCACTGGAAGCCAGAACCACCCAATTTTAGGCGCCTCAGAAGCAGCCTCCCAACTTAACAGACAAATACCTACCGAGCAGCACCGTAACAGACGACCCTTGAGCACAGCCCAGTCTTTAACAGGGTGCCACGCACAGCTACAGCTACAGTGCGCCATAGTATCCTGCATACACCACCCCCTGCTGCTGCTGCTGCCCTGCCCCCTGCTGCTGCTGCTGCTGCTGCTGCTGCTGGGCATGCAGCTGCGGTGTTACAGGGTAACCGGGCCGCCCCGCAGCCCCTCCTGCTGCTGCTGCACCAGGCTGGGGGGAAGCTTCCCCAGCGCCGCCTTTCCCGCCCTGCTGCTGCCCCTGCTGCGCCTGCATCTGCCCCTGTGCCTGCCCCTGAGCCTGCCCCTGCGCTTGCCCCTGCGCCTGCCCCTGCGCCTGCCCCTGCGCCTGTGCATGCGCCTGTGCCTGCAGCGGGTAATAAACCCCCGCTTGCGGAGCAACCCCCCCTTGCACGTATCCGCCCTGCGCGGGCACTGTCCCCTGCGGAGCATAGTAGCCCTGCGCGGCCGCCGCTTGCGCGGGGTAACCCTGGGGGGTGGGCGCCAGTTGGGGGGCGGCGGGGGGAGCTGCGACTTGGGGGTAGCCCTGACCGGGGGAAGGCTGCGTTTGGGCGGCAACAGCAGGGGTTACGTACACAGGTTGCTGCTGGTAACCAGCTGCAACCTGTTGCTGGTAACCAGCTGCGGCCTGTTGTTGATAATCAACTGCGGCCTGTTGCTGGTAAGCAGCTACCTGCTGCTGGTACGCGGCGGCGGCGGGCGCTTGCTGATAGTACTGCGCTTGCAGCGCAACTTGCCCCTGCGCCTGCGCCTGTGCCTGCGCTTGCGCTTGCGCCTGAGCCTGAGCCTGAGCCTGCGCCTGCGCCTGCTGCGCGTACACGTCCGCCACCTGATACATCTGCTGCTGCTGCTGCGGAACCGCCTGGAACTGCTGCGCCTGCGCCTGCTGCGCGTACGCGGCGGCGTAAGCGGCGGCTTGCGCGCCCCCCCCATAAAACACCACCTGCGGATACCCCTGCTGCTGCTCCGCCTCCGCCACCCCCGGTAGCATCATTAACCCCGGCTGCTGCTGCTGCTGCTGCTGCTGCTGTTGCTGTTGCTTGCCTCTGTTTTCCCCAGCGAGCTTGCAAAACACCTGATGCCCCTGAATCATCTTATTCGGCTCCTGCAAAACGTTCTGCGCACCTTCCGCGGTCTTATAAACGAAGATCGCGTACCCGCGGCTCTTACTCGTGCTCTTATCGAATCCGATCGGCCCCTCCTCGATATCCCCGTACTGCGAGAAAAACGACAACAGCTGCTCGGACGATAGTTCCACGTGGACGTTCCCGACAAAGATCTTCCGCGCCGCCACGTCAGCGCTCGCCGAGCCGCCACCCGGGCCGAGCGTCGCCAGCTGGCAGACGACCATTCGCCCGTCAACGAACTTGGAGGGCTCCTCCAAGGCGCGAATGGCGCCGCGCAGAGAGCGGTAGGTGACGAAGCCGAAGCCGCGCGAGCGACCCGTCCCTTTCTCCTTGATGATCTGCGCGCACCAGGGAGGCGGGGAGGGCGGGGAGACGGAAAGTGGTTACGCAAAAAACTCGAGAAGTGAGGGGCACGGGGTGGAACTCAAACTGATAATCCGATCTTGCTGGAATTAAAACTCAATCCGCCGTCTTGAAAAGTCTGATCCTGCCTTCTCACGGGCCGATCGCCTGCCATCATGCTATCAAGGTCTTATTATATTCATGATCCGGGCTAAAACCCTGCCCTCTCTAAGCCTAATCTCTCCATCCTCCTATTCCAATCCTCCCCATCCTCCCTTTCACCCCAGTCCCCCACCTGAAGGTCCTCCACGTCGCCGAAGGACACGAAGATTCGGCGAAGCGTCTCGTTGGTGGTGTTGAAGTCAAGCCCTCGTACGAATATTCGCCGCTGCTGCGAGTCGCGACCCACCACCTCCATGATCGCGTCGGCGACGGCGCTGTGCGACATCGCCGCGCTCACGAGCGCTTCGCGAACGTCGCCGTCCTTCATGACGTCCACCAGCATGCGCGCCTGGTGCGCCGTGAGCGCCGCGGGCGGGTCCTCGGACCTGATGTGGTGACGAGCCGAGCCTGACGCGCCGTTGCCATCCTTTCCTTCCGCTTTGCGCTTCTTCGAATCCTCTATCGCCATAGCCGATAAACCCGCTTCTGAAAAACGCGGGGAGCCTAAAGCTAAACGGCTATCGACTATCTAGCGATGTCGATACCTAACTGGCTAAAGAAAGGCTATTTAAGGGTATACTTAGCTGTTCTGGGTGTTGATAGCAGGAAGATGAGACTAGGCAAAACCCTCTTTGGATCTAGCTAGGGATTGCTTTTTTGCTGAAAGCGGGTTCTGGGACAACAAGGGTGCGGTACAAGAGATGCTTCAACACTGATATAAGCACGCCCACCAAAATTATAGTATACATCACTTGGAAAATTGGAGGTTGTATGAAATTGGTTTAATTTTGAAATGCTTAAGGTATGTGAATTTTTGTTGCAACACCATGCGGCAGTGTACAGAACCGTGCAAAACCAGTGTCATTAATATGAGCACTCGCGCAACAGACGACCTAGGGGTTCGTCATCGAGTGGGGAAGGGCTCGAGGATGCGTGCCTTCGTGATTGCTCTGATGTGTGAGCTGTTTCTGGATCAATTTCATGCGTTTGTGGTTTGCGTTGCGGTTCAAAGCGGTAACACAGTGGGAGGTTGGAATTTGACTGCCATAGCATCGCACTGCTATCTCCAACGGTCATATTTTTTCCCCTCCTTCTCAGCTCCAATGGTCATTGTTGTCCCTTGGCTCGCTCCATTTTCTACTCACTTGGTCTGGTCTCTTTCAAGGATTTCATATCATTGTGCTCCCCTGCCAACACCTCCTCTGGACGAAGAGTCTGGTGGGTGGCTCTTCGCTCCCCCCCTCCCCCTATTGCAGCCCCTGGGGAGTGGTTCCTCCCCACGCAAGACTCTGACTCTTCCCCTACACTCGCTCTCCAGGTTACCTCGTTTTCGTCCCCATTCTCACTCTCTGCCATCCTCCACCGTGTCGTCCCGAACCGGCTCATTGTCCGTTCATCCATCGAAGCTGGCACCTTCCACATAGGTGACCTCACTGCGGTCTAAGTCGTCGGATCCTGGCTTGCAGGTCTGTACTATACAGGTGCAGGTCTCGGCGCGTGGCTCGACATCTTACAAGACGGGTGCCCCAGTGTAGCGGACCTTCGCCGTCGCCTCTACACCCAGCTGCCCTTTGACCACAACGTCTGTTGGATCCGCGCCCTCCCCTCTCCTCCTCCTCTCGTCCCGAACTACTCTCATGATTTTTTACGAGAACAACCCAGCCTACAACGCGACATCCTGTACCAATTCTACACCCGTGCTCTTCCCTCGGGCTCTCGTTTCCCTTTTGCTGCTGATCGAGGGACATGCTTACTCTGCCCTTCTGCTCCCACTGAGACTATTCCTCACATCTTCTACAAATGCGGAGTGGCTCCTGCGGTGATTTCCGCGCTCTCATCTGTCGCTCGCCGCCACCTCCACTGCTCTCCTCCTCCCGAGCTCTTGCTCTTTCCGCTCGCCTTGAGGGCTGGCCAGGTGGCTCCCTGGAGCCTTCTGGTAGGTGCCTCTGCAAAGGCCATTTGGAATGCGCGCTGTGATCATAAATTCCACGACTCACCCTCCTCCCATTTCGATACTCTCCAATTCATCCTGGCACAGTCCCTCCTAGCTTTAAAAATTTCCTCTAGAGCAGGAAGAAACAACCAGTTAAGAAACAGCAGCGCTTGGCCTCTCGTCTTAAGCTGGCCACCCGACTACGCTTCTTCGTTTTTGATCATGACGGCAACCCTTCTATCCATCCAGATCTTCGCTCGTCATGGCTTCTCGAAGACCTCTTTCGTCCCCCCTAGGCCCGTCTCATTTTTTAGCATAGAGCGCTCCCCAGCCTTGCTGGAGGTTATCAGTTGATAAGGAAATAACGTGTTTCTGACGTACGCCTTTTGGCTGTTGGTTTGTGTAGACCATATTTCTAGCTGCTCTATGCTTTCCTGTACATGGTTACGACCTTCATATAACCTTAACCTTAACCCTTGGCTCGCTAACCAGCACGGAGTTCCTTGATTTTGTAGCATTTACGACTGAACGAGGAACAAGCGTTGGATGTGAATCTGTCAGCATTTCGCTGTGACTGTCACGGCTGCCAAATACGTCTTCTGGTGCTTCCGTTGGAGCGTTTCAGTAGCTAACCGGTCGACTCGAACCTGGCAAATCATCTCTCGAAAATGTTCGTGAACCTAATGAGCACTCGTACCACTCCATCTTCCAGGATTGATAAGGTTCGTCGAAGACTAACAGGTGCATCGATGGTTTGAATCTTGATTGTGCAGCAATGTAAACGATGGTAATCGACATTTTCGCCGACCCTAATCACTAGCAATGTGCATCTGACCATGAAACGACCAATGTCTTGTCAGAATGTTATAATGCTTACAGTTGTGTAGGCTATAGTGGGGTAGCCCATAAGGGGTACAACCCAATTAGGGTTAGTACTTGTACCCAACTCTTTCATAGTTCATTCATCCTCATTCATTCCTTTGACATGGTTTCAGAGCAGGTCCTTCGTTAGGACCGCTTTTTTTTCGGGCCCACCACAGCGCTGCCCCGCTAGCCACCCTCTGCAGCCCTCGTGCTGCCCCTACTTCCCTGCGCGCCCTGTAGACCCTAGGCCCCGGCCCGCCCTTTGCCCCGAGGCCCAGTGCGCCCGTCGACCCCTAGGCCCCGGTGCGACCCGTCGACCCCTAGGCCCCGGCCCGCCCTTTGCCCCTAGGCCTTGTCGCGACCCGTCGACCCTAGGCCCCCGGCCCGCCCGTCGCCCCTAGGCCCCGGCGCGACCCGTCGACCCCTAAGCCCGGCGCGACCCGTCGACCCCTAGGTCCCGCCCCCCACGTCGTCCCCTACGCCCGGCCCGCCCCTCGACCCCTAGGCCCCGGCCCCCCGTCGACCCCTACGCCCGGCGCCCCGTCGACCCCTAGGCCCTTGCCCCCCGTCGATCCCTACGCCCGGTGCGACCTGTCGACCTCTAGGCCCCGGCCCCCACGCCGACCCCTACGCCCGGCCCGCCCGTCGACCCCTAGGCCCCGCCCCCCCCCCTCCGCTCGACCCCTACGCCCGGTGCGCCCCGTCAACCCCTAGGCCCTGGCCCCCCGTCGACCCCTACGCCCGGCACGACCCGTCGACCCCTAGGCCCCGGTCCCCAAGTCGACCCCTACGCCCGGCCTGCCCGTCCACCCCTAGGCCCCGGCCCCCCCCGTCGACCCCTAGGCCCCGGCCCGCCCGTCGCCCCTACGCCTGCCTGCCGCCCCTACGCCTGCAGGCCGCCCCTAGGCCTGGCCTGCCCGTCGCCCCTAGGCCCCGGCCCGACCGCCGCCCCTACAGCCAGCGCGCCGCCCGTTTGCGGCCTGCCATCACCTCTTGCCGCCCGTGCGCCGCCCCTTGCAGCCCCCGTGCCGCCTCTTGCAGCCTGCTAGCCGCCCCTTGCGACCTGCTCGCTGCCCCTTGCAGCCTGCGCACTGCTCTCTCACAACCCGCTAGCTGTCCCTCTCCTCTGCTACTATGGCGTCTCTTCGTGTTCTCGCTTTCGATCATGAGGGCCGCCCTATCCAGTTTGACACGTGGCTCGACGACCTGCAGCTGTACCTACTGAGCGACTCTAAGGACAGTGTTTCGTTGTTTGCCACACGTCTGGCGCCGCTCCCGCCCCTCCCGCGAGGACAGTGGACAGGACCGCAAGCGCTACTTTCTGCTGGTCGTTGACGACTACACGCGGTACACCACGGTCTTCCCCTTGCGTAGCAAGGGTCAGGTCGTTGATGTCTTGATCCCTTGGATCCGCGCAGTACGTCTCCAGCTCCGCGAGCGGTTCCACCAGGACCTTCCTGACCTGCGTATGCACTCTGACAGAGGTGGTGAGTTCTCCTCCGACCTCTTGCGGGACTTTTGTCGTGGGGAGGGCATTCTCCAGTCGTTCACGCTTCCGGACTCCCCTCAACAAAATGGGATTGCTAACAGCCGCATTGGCTTGGCCATGGAGGTCGATTGTACCTCCATGATCCATGCGGCTGCTCCCCATTTTCTGTGGCCGTTTGCGGTCCGGTACGCTGCGCATCAGCTCAACCTCTGGCCCCGTGTCTCCTTGCCGGGGACCTCGCCCATACTGCGTTGGACGGGGAAGGTTGGCGATGCGTCGGTGTTCCGGGTCTGGGGCTCGATGCCTTTGTTTGCGATACGTCCGCGGACAAGCTCTCCGCCCGTGCTATCCCCTGCGTCTTCCTTGGCTTTCCCCCTGACGCGCCTGGCTGGCAGTTTTACCACCCCACCTCGCGCCGTGTCTTCCCCTCTCAGGACGTCACGTTTGACGAGTCGGTTCCCTTTTACCATCTCTTCCCCTACCGCTCTGCCCCTCCCCCGCCCCCGCCGCTCTTCCTTGCTCCAGGTCCCCCTCCGGTAGACGCCCTCCCGCCCAAGGGTCCTGCTCCCTCAGGTGTGTCTCAGGTAGACCCTCTCCTTGGTACTGTGCCTGTTGAGGTAGCTGGCGACTCAGGTGCTGCTCGAGGTGCTGCGTCTGGGGGTGCGGAGCCTGGGGGTGCGGGGCCTGGGGGCGCTGAGTCTTAGGGTGCCGGTTCTAGGGGTGCTGAGCCTGCGGGTGCTGAGCCTGAGGGTGTTGAGCCTGGGGGTGTTGAGTCTGAGGGTGCTGAGTCTGGGGGTGCTGAGCCTCGGGGTACTGCTTCTGCTGGAGGTCCTGCGGGTGCTTCGCCACGACTGTCTCCCCAGCCAGAGCCTCTCTCCCCGCAGCAGCTGCGCGAGTGGTTTGCTCAGCGCACCCGCCTTCGGAGTGGAGCTGCCGGAGCTGGAGACCCTGCCGCTGGAGACACTGGAGCTGGAGGTGCTAGAGTTACTGCTGGAGCTGGTGGTAGTGGAGGTGCTGCGGCTGCTGGTTTTGGAGGTGCTCGTATCAGGGGTACTGGAGCTGCCGAGACTGGTGGTGTCGGGGGCGCTGGAGCTAGGGACCCTACGGAGCATGGAGCTGCTGAGTCTGGAGGCGCTGGAGCTAGAGGCCGTGGCACTGGTGGCGCTGGAGCTGGAGGAGCTGG